ATCCCAAGCCATGGGCTCCCTGAGCGTCCCTGCCCGGAGACTGCGACGGGAGCCGAGACGAGGGGTCCCGCTGCTAGAGGAGGGGCTGACAGCCCAGCAGCCACCCCAATCCCAGGAGAACACTGGGGTGGCAGCGAGGGGACAGGAGCTGGGGGAGAAGGACTTGCTGGTGGCACTGCCTGGCCCTGAGCGGTGCCCGGGGATGGTCCAGGCTCTCCCATTGCCGCGGTGGGTATTTGGGCTCTGCTGCTCAGCATCACCGGGGCATTTTTTGTTATGGAGCTGATCCTATATCATTCAAACCCAGGGCAGCTAGAGGAGGGAAAACGGGGACTGCCAAGGTGCAGCCAGGCTGCTCCACTCGTGCAGACCATTCCTGTCGTCGGAAAAGCCAGTTTGGATCTGAGCAGGAGAGGAGCCAGGGCCCCGCAGGGATGCGGGAGGAGGATCCTGTGTGAAACATGCCGGAAGGCACTGGCAGCCCTACCGGGAACAGCTCTTGTTGACTGGTGGATACGGGGACAAAGAAGGGATTAGACTGTTCGGAAAACTTCACTCCCTTTCCCTTATGAATGTTTTAGGATGAGCCATGGCTGAAGGTCCCTGGAGACCTTCTGTGGGGACGTGATGTGCTTGCTGGGAGTGGAGTCCCTGGGGCTATAGCTGGGCCCCCATCCCTCTGTACCCACGGTACCCATGCCAAGGGAGTGGAGGGTGTCTGTGCCCCCAGGTGAGGCAGGGGTGAGGCAGTGGGAGGCTGGCTGCCCTGAGAACTCACACGTCATGTCCGCAGGACGTGAGCTGGAAGGTGCCAGGCTGGGAGGCAGGAGCATTTGCAGAGGGAAATGCACTGTGACAAAGGATGGAAGAAGTTTATGGAGTGCCTGAAATGAGGGGGATGCTGTGAATTGTGCGGGTTTTGGAGGTGCTGCCCCATCCAAGCTGCTGCAGAAAGCGGGGTAGGAGTGCCAGCTCAGCCCTAGCCTTGTCCCCTGTAACCCACCCGTCTGGGCTGAGCGCTTGTCCCCATCAAAGGCAGCCGAATGGGAACGGGGCTGAGCCGTGCTGTGCTAGGCAGGATGGCTCCCAGCTGGGCTGGGCGAGAGGGAAAGCAGCTCTCTGTCCCTCGGCTGTGCCTTCAGCCAGCCAGGCTGTGTAATTCCCTCTGACAGTTCAATGCAGAGCAAAGCCAGCAGCTTCGCTGCAGCGGATGCATGAAAGGTGAGTGCGCTGGAGCCTGATTAATGTGGGGAGCTGCTCTCTCCTGCACGCTGACGGGGGGCAGGGAGCAAACGCTGACCCCAGGCTCTTCCCTGTGCTGCTTTCCCCTGGGACACACGGCGCATCCTGACCTCTCCATCCCCGTCCCACCAAGTCTGTCATGGAGCCAGGGTGGGTGCAATATCTGTGCTGGCTGACTGCTGTCACGCAGATATGGGTGTCATCCTAAAGAGCAGGCCCTTGGGGGAGTGGGGAAGGAGCCACCAGATTTGAGACGCCGGCTCTGCACATCTGGGCTCCTGGGAGCGGGAGCTGGGACCCCTGTGTTGGCAGCAGTGTCCCATGGAGGCTTGTGGTAGCAGCCAGAGGGGAGCCGTCGCCTGGCCCAAGGTCACTGTGGTGGGGTGGGCAGGGTCCCAGGAGCTGCACCCGTGTGTGTGTGGGACACCCTTGTCCCCAGCCTGCTCCCAGATGTGTGCACACGCAGGTACACGCGTGCACACCCCCCACCCCACGCACGGGTGCTGTGCTGGAGGCCGCAGTGCCAGCAGTGGGCGCAGCTCTCCTGCTCCATCTCTCCCAGCAAGCTCCCACACTGTGGGGACTAATTTTTTGGTGTTTGATCTGCTGGTTTAGCTCTCAGACCTCTCGTGGCAGAAGGTTTGCTTTTGCTGGGCTTTTTTCTTTCCCTTTGGATTCCTTGGCAGCTGTGTTCCCCCGCACTGGGGCTCTTCGGGGAGGGGGAGCAGCCTGCTGGGTGCTGGGTAAAGAAGCCATGGAGAAATACAGGGGTGTAGGGGCTGAGGGCTGGCACGGGAGAGCAGGACACCCACTACCAGCACACAGGCAGGCACTGCTTGGCTTTCAGGAGGCAGGAGCAAACCAGGCTCTGGTGCAACCTGGAGCTGGGTGCACCCAACCAAAGGGCACTCCCCGGCTGCTATGTAGGGTGTTGGTGTCTCCACAGAGATTGCTGAGATGCACAATTAACCTTCTAGTTGCAATTAGTGCACACAGGCTAATGGGTGGCAACATGCAGGGTATGGTGTGTACACCCACACAAGTGCATGTGTGCAATGGAGGCAGCTGCCCCCAGCCCACCGTGCCCCTTCCTCTCTGCCGCATCGCTCCCTGACCCCTCGCCTGCCTCACCCTCTCTCTCCTCCCCAGGCAGGATGCAGGTCCGGGGCCTCCTCCTCCTCCTGGTGCTGATCCTGCTGGCCGCCACCACTGAGGCTGGCAAGAACAAGAAAGGTGAGGGGCAGCGCGGGGCAGGGGGACGGGGACTGGCGGCAGCCCGGGGTGTGCTCCCGTGCCCCCACAGCAAGAACCCGCTCCCCCTTCCCTTGCAGAGAAGGCAAAGAAGGACATCTCCGAGTGCGAGGACTGGCGCTGGGGACCCTGCGTCCCCAACAGCAAGGACTGTGGCTTGGGCTACCGCGAGGGGACTTGCAAAGAGGAGAGTAAGAAGCTCAAGTGCAAGATCCCCTGCAACTGGAAGAAGAAGTTTGGAGGTAGGTGCATGGCAGTGGGGTGGTTGGGGACCACCCCAGGCTGGATGGCTGGGGCTGGTGCCCATTCCAGGCTCTGTCTGGCTCTGACACCTCTCCCCTCTCTTCCAGCTGACTGCAAGTACAAATTTGAGAGCTGGGGGGGCTGTAGCGCTCAGACGGGTGTGAAGACTCGCTCCGGCATCCTGAAGAAAGCCCTGTACAATGCCCAGTGTGAGGAGATTGTCTATGTGACCAAGCCCTGCTCTTCCAAGATCAAGTCAAAGTCCAAAGGTCAGTCCCCACCATGCCTGTCCCCAGATGGTTCCAGAGGAACCCAGGGCAGGGTCTCTCCAGGGGTAGCTTGGCCTGTTAGGGTTGGGCTTTGCTGGTGGTGTGGGGGATCACATAGGATGCATTTCCCTCTGCATCAGCATGTGTGGGAGCCCCACAGCCTGGCTGCTGACTGAGTGGGATGCAGGTGCTTCTGGGAAAATCCCTGGTCCTCCCACAAGTCACTGCCAGCTTCAGTGGGATGGGGATTTCCCACCTCCTCAGTGGGCTGGTGCAAAATGTGGTGTTGCATGGTGGGGGGAGGCTGCCTTCAGGGATGTGGCCCCTGCCCCATGGCGAGCTGGCCATGTTGGCTACAGGCACGACCTGGGGGATCGGTGAAATGCCAGCAGATACACTAACTCTTTTGTCTCCTGTGCTTCTTGGATGCAGCAAAGAAGGGCAAGGGGAAGGACTAGAGCAGGAAGCCAGCATCCTCATCGGCCCCTCAACACGGTGCCCACAGGGCTGGACTCCCAGCTGCAGCCGGCCCACGCTCCAGCCTTCTTCCTCCTCTACTTCCTCCTTTCCATGACCTCCTCTTTCACTAAGATGCCTTGTTTTAATTGCTAGTGTGTTGTAGAGAGCAAACCCACCCACTCCACAGCAAGGGCTGTCCCCTCCCTGCTGCCCCGCTGCCACTGCTGGTGCCTCCCGCTCGCCTCCTCTCAGCTGGTGTCGGGGTGCCTCCTGCTCGCCTCCTGTCGTGGCTTGCTGGGATGGGAACACACATTTTTCCACCCTCTTGCACAAATGAGTTGCCTTTAGTGCATCCTTTGCAAGCCTGGGAGCCTTCTCACTCCTCCTCTTGGTACCGGCGTAGGAGGGGAGGGCTGGGTGTTGAATGCCCGAGTAACCCCATCACTCATGCCCCTTACTCACACGAGGGCTGCTCTCAGCTCAAGGGGCTTCTTCCAGCATCCCTTTGGCCAGGGCACGACTTCCCTGCAGCAGCCAGAGAAAACAAAGCCACCACCACCAGGAAACACTGCATCCTTTCTCC